GGGTACATATACATATTCATATATTAGTTTCTTAATACAATGCTAGGGCAAGTAATTGGTGCTGTTATTTTTACATGTTACATGATGCTGTAGGCGATTGGATGGATAAACTAATATATATACTAATATACATATACACAACTTTTAGGCACATAATAATCACTAGATTCTCAGACATTAGGTACATGGTATACATATACATATATAAACAGATGGTTCATAATACAGTGCTATGGAAAGTAATAAATGCAGTTAATTTTATAGTAAAATTCTAGTTTAACACTATGCGAAACGGCTTCATGTTACACAGTGTTAAATACTGACGCATGAATACAGTAATATTTCTACTTGTTAATACTATATATATATAAAAATATACAAATATTTTTAGGTGCATACTTAACATAGGATACATAATTATTAGATGCACTATGCATATACGTACATAATACATAAGATTAGTACAATGCTGGAACAATTCATTGGTGCTGTTAGTTTTAGTGTAAGATCCTAGTTTAACGCTATGTGGTACAGTGCCATACTACAGGATGATATGCGCGGAGCCATGGATGCAGTTATATACATACTAAAACACGTATACACAATTATTAGGCACGCAGTAATCATTGGATTTATAAGCATTATATACATGGTACATATACAGACGATACATAATATATAAACAAATATATATATAATAATAATGCTATAGAAGTTAGTTAATGCAATGGGGTTTTTAGAATTAAGACTTTAGATTAACACTATGCGGTAAAGTGTCATGTTGCGTGATGTTATATTCGGATGCATGGTTACATTATCATATATACGAGGATATATATACATATTATTAGGCACATAGTAATCATTGGGCTCACAATCTTAATGCACATAGTGCCTTAGTCTCGTGGACTTGAAAGTACGTAATAAGGTTCAAATGGTGCTATTAATTTGATGATGCTAAATAATATTAATACAATAATGCAGCAATGATTAATACAGTTAATGATCAATACAGTAACATTTATACTAGAACATATATATACAAGTACAAGGCGCATAATTACATTGAGTATAGAAGCATTGGGTGCATTATACATATACATACATAAAACATAACTACATGGTGATGGTACTTAAGATACATTTATAAACAGGTACAGATGGTCCTTATTTACATATTGCGGTACAGATAATAGACATAATTCGTTTGGTTGGCATAATGCAAATTGATTAAATAGTTTATTCTTGCTATATTACTAGGAGTGTTGGACACTCCTTACGATAATTCACAGTTATTTTGTGGTGTTGGTAGTTGGTGCTAGACACTGAATTACTATTCGTCTATATGGCTAAGTATGGCACAGGTCTGTGTTAAGATCGGCCAGTTTTATCCATTAAAAGCCCTATTTTTCTAACCAAGTGCCTCTGTTTTATCAAAAACTTACAGAAAGCTTGTCGATTGGTCGACGGAAGGTTGATGTGTAGCCCTTCTGTAAGGGGACAGGAGGTTAGATAATGCTGCTCCGGAGAGCCAGTCTGTCCACAGGCGCACTGGCTAGTGTTACTTATCCCGCGTTTGTTAAAGTACTCGGGAAATGGTCCGTGACCCGTAATGTATCTTACCAATTGCATGTTTGCAAAATTTTTGGTAGTGTCCACGTAGCTGACATGGTAATAAGTCCGTCGGCCGGTATCGCTGTTTATCCCATGTCTGCTGCCATTTCCCGATTGCCTTTAAGCGCAATGTTCTTTTCAGGTAAGACACTGGCCATGGGATGTTGATTTGTTGAGATGTTGCTCCTGTGGCAGCTTCTTTGGCTAGATGGTCAGCCAACTCATTGCCGTGGTGGCCGGCATGCGCTTTGATCCATTCAAGTCTTGTATGGAGTTGGGAATTTTTTCGCAGATCTTCCTGTATTCCCTGAATAATATCGGAGGGGTGGTCAGGGTTTCCTATTGCGTATAGCGAAGAAAGACTGTCTGTCTTTATTGTAGCGTTGCGGGAGTGGTGGGATTGCAGGTAGCGGATTGCAGGTAGCGGATTGCTTGCGCAATTGCCACTGCTTCTCCCTGAAAAACGCTATTAAATTGCCTTAGTTGACCCTTCCATTGATCTATGACTGTATCTTGCAGCATGACCACATAGGCACTTCCCACGTTTTCGTCTATCTTCGACCCGTCAGTGAAGATAGTAATCTGTGCTGGACGGTGGGCCGTAGTTGGATTGGTAATTATGCTTATTCCGGTGCCTTTGGCTGCTGGATGGATTTTCAGAGGGCAGCATTTAGCTTCATAGTCCTCTGGATTAAAATATTCTTCCTCAAAGGTGACAGGTCTTTTAAGCTGCAGGACGATTTGTCTTGCTGCCTCCTCTTCGACACGGATGTGTAGGGGAAGAAGGCCAGCCAGCACGTTGATCGCGTCTGAAGACGTCGTGCGGTAGGCTCTAGTGATACCCAATGCAAAAGGTCTTTGAATGGTAGAAAGGTGTTTAATTTTCCTGCTTTGCATTGGGTGAGCCCATACTGCTGCTGCATAAGTGACTATCTTTTCCACCACTGTGGTGAAGAGGACCTTCTGAATATGAGGATTGAGGCCCCATTTGTGGCCATGAAATAATCGCATTTGCTTCGCTATTGTCACTGTTCTAATTTTGATGTCCTGGATGTGTGGTATCCAGGTCATCTTGTGGTCGAACGTAAGGCCCAGATATTTTAGTTGATTGACTATTTGTATCCTCTGATTGTTGATCTTAATGGTTGGTCTTCTTGAAAGAGAACCTCCCTTTTTAGGTATTAATAACACTTTGGATTTGTGCTCTGCAATTTTCAGTTTAAGGTTGTCACATAGGGCATAGAATTGTTGGCACACTTCGTTACAGTGAGTCTCTAATTCTCTTCGGGTTCGACCTTTCACTATTAGCGCTGCGTCGTCTGCGTAGGCGTAGATCTTTGTGTGCGCTGGCCATGTAGCTGTTAAAACTTCGTTGAAAGTTAGATTCCACAGGTGTGGACCAGCGCACGACCCTTGTGGACAGCCTCTCGTCTGCTCCTGTTCTATTATGCCTGAGTTGTGAACTGCTAGTAGTCTTCTATCCTGTAGATAGTTGCTTAGCATCTTATACAGGTTGCTCGGACATTTTGCCTTCCGCAGAGCCTGTTTGATAGCCGGCCACCATAATGTATCAAAAGCGTTTTTGAGATCTATGCTTATCATGGCAGTATGGTGGCCGCTATGTCGATTCTCTAAAATTGCTTCTCTAATGTCGAAGAGTAGGTGGACTGTAGAAGTGCCCGTCCTAAACCCGTATTGTCTCGGGCTTAAGAATCCTTGCGTGTGTAAATGGTACCGTAGCCTGTTCATGATAATCCTTTCTAGTACCTTACCCATTGCCGATAAGAGACAGATAGGACGAAAGGATGTGGCCTCGGCTGGGTTCCGGTTCTTTTTCAGAAATAAAATAACTTGCCCTATCTTGTATGGTTTTGGGAATATACCTGCTGCCAGAAGCTTGTTGAAATAGTCAACAAAGAATTTAGGGTGAGTTTTGATCGTTGCTTTGGTGATAGCATAGTCCATCCCATCGGGCCCAGGGGCTTTCTTGCGCGGCAGAGTTGCAAGAACTTTTTGAAGTTCATTAATTGTAATATCCGGGTCTGTTGGGGTGTCCAGTGTGGTTGTTACTGTCCTGAGAAGAGCTTGTTCTGTTGTGTCCTGCTGTACATCATCTTTGCAGAAAACTGCGTTTAGGAGCGTACGTAGGGTGTCTGCCGTGTACTCCTGACTGTTGGTGATTGAGAGAGGGATCTGTAGCTGCGAAGGTTTAAAAATTTTACCGGTAGCTATTTTGTGGTGAATACCATACGTCTTTTTTGCTTGGGTGCAGAATTCCCTCCAGGAAGTAATCTTAGCCTGAATAATAATCATCTTTTTGTACCGCGCCCGCTCCCGTTGAAATATGGTGAGGGTGTTGGACTCTATCTCCAACCGTCTTTCGCTTTTGAGTTTTTCTTCGCAGTGCTCTGCACTTTCGTTGCTGTATTCTGAGCGCACTCGACCACCAGTGAATGCCTTGGAGTCTCTTAGGTTTTCTAAGAGGGAGATTTTCATTACATATGGCTTGCATTGTTTCTTGTAATGTTACGGAGAAGTCTTCTAATTCTGCTGCTGACGTGTTAGCTAGTTGGAGCGAAGGTTCGAGGCGCATTAGCTGCACTTTAATTTTCTTCGTAAATGTTGTTAATTTTTTCGGCCCAGGAAGGTTATAGCGTTTGATTTGATCTTGGACACGGAGGTGGTCTGCGATATAGAGAAGGTAATGAACTTGTGATCACTGAGGCTCTCTTCCTCTTCGACTTTCCAGTCCTGCAAAAGAGGTGCTACGTGCAGAGTGGTCAGGGTGAGGTCTGGCCATCCCTGCGCAAAGACCCTGTCGAAGGATGGTGGTGCATCTGCTGTATTCTGGACTATTAGATTACTTGAGGATATGAAGTCCTCTAGTTCTCTCCCTTTCGGGTCTGTAGTTCGATATCCCCAGGCCGTATTATGTGAATTGTAATCGCCTGCGAAGATCATATTTGGGATTTTAAATCGATGTATGACACTTTGGATGAATCTTGTCGTCGGGCCAATATCCGCTGTTGGAGGAGAATAGATCGATCGACGCTAAGATAACAGAGAAGGAATGTACTTCTACGAGCACTGCTACATGATCTTGATCGAGTGAGATAGATGTTGGAGACCAGTCTGGATTACAGCTTATTATTATAGCTCTTGGTGGATGGTCGTGATTGGAACTTTGAAATACTGTCCATTGCAATGGAAAACCTGCTGCCGCGCCATCGCGGGTATATGGCTCTTGACCTATGATAAAGTCTATTTTATTATCAATTGCGAATTGAACTGTCTGAGCGACCGCAGCCCTGGCTCGCTGCATATTGATTTGTAAAAATCTGATGGGTTCTTCGTTTGAGTTAAACACTGTATTTATCTGAACGTTTTGCGCTTGTTGACTTTCGCAATTACGTGGTGTGTTGTTATTAATATTGGGTGATGCTGCGGATGTAGGCAGCTGCTCGCTGGTATTCTGCGCATTCAGTTGCGTAGGCTGGGTGCCTACAGTCGTGCATGGTTCCATGTCTATCGTTTGCGTCACGGCAGTTAATACATTCTGGTAGTTCTGCTTTGCAGTTTTTGACATTGTGCGGTCCGGCGCAGTAGGCACAGAAGTTCTTCTTGCATGTGCATTTATTCTGGGTATGTCCGAGCTGCTGGCACTTGTAGCAGCGACGGATGCCCAGGTACTCTGTGATTGCGTGTGCGTGCCAGCCTGTGAAAATTCGTCTTGCCCTAAGAACTGCCGGAAGGATGGACGGTTGGCACTCCAAAACCCATTTGACTCGCTTTGGGTTCCGTTCTCGGAGTCTGAAGAGCGCTTTGATGCCTGTGGATGGGATTTCTGCTGTTGCAGCGATTTCCCCGATGAGTTCCTCGGGCATGATGTTGTCCGGGACGCTATGAACTGTGCAGCGTGGCTTTCTTCTTTGCCGTCTTTGCAGATCAATCTCAAGGTTGGCATTTTGTAATTTCTCTTCTAATTGATCTATGTCTTTAGTTGATTTGCAAAAGACCTCTAACTCTCCTTTCGATGTTGAGGAGATATGCTCCACCGCAATTTGTAGGCTGCTAATCGGGGCTTTTTCTTGGAGCTCCTTCCTGAGTTGTGCTTCTCTCTTCTTACCAGTAGGCTTTATTATTAAACTAGGCCTCTGTGTTAGTTTCACTACTTCTGCAAAAGAGCGTGGGGGTGGCTCCTGTATAACTGCTGATGTTGCTGCGTAAGAAACTGATGCACTCAGTGCAGGAAGATCGCTCGAGGTTGTAGAAATCTGTGCGCGTACTGCTTCGCAACAGACGAAGGTGGATGTGTTGACCCCAATTTCAATTGTCTCAGGCTTCAGTGTGTATTCCGGGCCTTCTAGAACTAGCCCTTGTAGAACTTCTAACGACTTTTGTATGCGTATCCTTACGTCGTTTGGCAAGAGGTACTTGTTCCTTCTGGATGTCGCCGAGGCCTGTCTGATATCTTCTGCTAATGCTACGATTTTCTCTGCGTGCGTCCGATCTGAAGAAAGTAAGGCAAAAGGGTCTAGTATGCCATTGATAGGGGTATGATCTTCTTCAGTCGGCACAGCAGATTTTCGTTGCATGGCAAGAAGCACTATTCAATATTGCAACACTATTCAAAATTGATGTCACACAACACTGATTCTTAACATTCACGAATATGATAGAGAGGTATGCAGTTGTGTTTGAAAATGCAGTTGATTGCACAGTTCAGTAATACAGGGAATATTATCAAGATAGCAGTACTGAACAAATAATAATAATAATAATAATAATAATAATAATAATAATAATAGTTCAAAGTTCGGTACAGGGTATTACTGCATTAAAGTTTAGTCAGTGTCACAGATAGGACTAACTCAGTTCAGTGAGAAATATGTTACACTGTGGACTATTAAAAGCCTAGTGTAAAAGCTGTCACAGTAAATAAAGAACTTGTTGCTTTGATGCAGGTTCTAATGTATGTGTGGCATACACTATATTAAAATAACACTATCACTATAGCAGTACAGATAACAGAGACAAAGTGACACTATAATTAGGGTAGGCTGTGAGTAAGTACAATTTAAACAGTAAGCCTAGTAAGAAAGTCACACCTGGGGATATCACACTTGGGGATGTCAGTGTATTATACCTTGCACTAACCACAAAATGTTCTGAAGTGTAGTTTGAGATTGTTAATATACGGGCTTACTGCTCCCTGTTTATCTCAGAATGCAAGAAAGATGAGGTAGTTTTACCTCAGTAGATTAATATTACAGTTAGTAGTATACAAGGATTATTCATTGACCATCTAGTAAAAGAACCGTGGTTGGAGAAATTCCTCTAAGTCCACTATGTGTCGGGAAAACTAAGAAAGAAGAGGGATGGACACTGAGAACAGATGAAAGAAACAAATTAGAAAGGGGGCAAGAAAGAGGGGGTAGATGAATAGTAGATGAAATTGTTAATAAGGGAGAAGAAGTGAAGTCAAACTGTGGTGGAGTGGAAACTTTGGGTTAAATAGTTACTGAGTAATAAGAGAAATAAAAAAAAGGGGGTTAGAATCAAAAGGGGGGAAAGAAGGGTCGTAGAGAAAAGTGAGAGGTAAAATCGGAGAGGTAATAAGGAGGGAAGACAAACGAAGGTGGAATGGAGGCTCTAGGTGGTGTGGCTGCTGAGTTATTAGAGAATTAAAAAGTGGGGGTTGTGAATTAAAAGGGGGAAAGAAGAAGGGTAGGGGCTTATAACTTCTTAACTATAAGTAAGGTGTCTACGAAAAGGGAATTTTGTTTAGAGAGTGAATAAAAAGAAAAGAAGGTGTTAGAATGTTACAGGGAAGAGCTGCAAGAGAAATAAAACGTAATTAAATACAATTAAACGTAATTAAAATAGGAATAGCACTGAAACTAATGGAGTTAGAGAAGAGGGGGAACTGGGGATGTCAATAGGAAGGAAAGGGGAACCTGTGTATGTAATTTTGTGGGGCTAGCTTGGGTTTAAAAAAAAAAAAGAAATTGGGGGGGGCTTAGCGTATGATTAGTCTAAAAAGTGTTTTCTGTGTGTGGGGGTACTTATCCCTAAAATTTTCCTTTATAATTCTGGTATGAGACTTAGAAAAATTTCTCCGTTGAACAAAAATGCACTAGTGAACACATCTTGCAGGGTAATAAAACCATTAATAAAGCACAATAATTGCAAATAAACACATAATATGTTTAAAAAATAAATACAGTATGAGAAAAAAAATCAAATAGAGCTAAATTATAGTTTTAGATCATAAATTAATATGCCTTTAAAACGTTGTATAACACAATACTACCACAGAATACTAAAAATATGGGCAAAATAGCTAAGTACAAAATATAAACAAACACACGTGGTGAATAAAACTCATATATCCCACTTTGGAAAATTATTTAAAAATAATTAGATAGCTATCGGAGACCTAAAATACCATTAGTGCTTTGTACTATAAGTATAAAGTTATGAAAAAAAATACTATTATTGACACATATGTATTCAGTTTTTAGTAATAGCCCTTTGAAAGTACCTATTTAGCACAAAAACTACCAGCTCTTGTGAAAACCCGGTTGTGTAAGTCCCGGTTATGCAAATCGGAACCAGAGGCTATTGCAAATTTACAAATTAATTTTTAATAATTTAATTAAAAGTGATATCAAAAATCTGGTTCGATAAGTCTTCCAGATCAGACTTAATGTAACTAAAAAAAAATTTAAGTTTCTAGGATAATATTAAAATTTTGACATAATGTATAGAAATAGGCTGTATAAAAAAGCAGTTACATAGAACAGAACCAGCTGCCTCTATACTATTGAATGAACAGAACTTACAGCATTAAATTCACATATAAATGATATTAAAACTGAATACGCTCTTACTACTAACAACAATTGAGCATTATCAAGAATTTGAAGTAGGATTAAATAATAAGATTTAGTTATATTCAGTAATCAAGACCACAGAATCAAATGTTAAAATACAAAGTGCCTGTTACTAGGCTCTATCGAACTGTGCATACGACCTTAGTCAAGGTCGAGTTGTTGTTGACAATATGGCTGACGCAAAATGAAGCTGGTCAGTTATTCAATGTTACTCACAGCTCAATAGATAGAATGTAAGAAGCCTACCTTGGCAGTGATAAGACGAACATGGTAATCCAATGTAATCCTGGGTAATGAATTTTTTAAACACTTTTATCAATGATTTCTTGGACTTAGAATAAATTTCGTAAGGTTAACACTGTTGACACACACAAAAGAGACGCTACGAAGACAAGAACAATGGACGAATAACAAAAACACTAATTTCACAAAAACCACTAGACGCACAAACACATAACTTATATCAAAATGCTCCTCCAACACTCACTCAACTTAAAAACAACTTTTCTATCACTTGTAATTAAAATTTCCGCTAATTACAGGGAATAATTGCGGAGCGCTTACAGACACGTCTTACTCCCTCGGCGGACCCCTAATCTCTCCCGTATTCGAATACAACAGTTTTAAAAGATTTGAGTTTGCGAAGCTTCGTTAGAAAAAGAAAGGATATCATATTTTACTACGTAATATTTAATTTAAGAAGCCAGTTACTCAAAACCCAGTAAACTCATAGATTTGCCAACGGAAAGTCAAAGCTTTATTTTAGCAAATCTATGTAGTTAATACATTCCATAAAGTAGCAAAACAAAATCAAACGAAAAGCAAACACAAACAATATGATAATATTACTGCTTCGAATCATAATTAAAAATAACAGATTGACTAATAAATTTGCCACTTGACCGAAATATACTTAAAATCATAAATAAATAATTAGAATGTAACACAGTCAAATATAGGGTGTACGCCAAGTTTAGCAATTTCGTTTTAGGTAAGTGCTTTATTCTGGTAGCTCTATTTCGTTGCTGGCTCATTTTTCTCGGAATTTTATTTTTTTATAACTCG